TGCATACCCTAAGGGCATCCTTTAACCTAGTCTTAAGTCTTTCTGTTATATCTCTCAGTAAAGGCCTATACGTGTCATTGTCATTTAAATGAACCAGCAATTTTTCTACACAAATTGACTTACCCATGACTACCACAGCTCCACTTTTGACGGCATTCATTACGATCAAATTACTACCATACAGATTTTTAGAAACCATACTAAGATGACAATCTTTCCTTGGCGATATTATATGGTCAAAATGAGGGATCACCTCCAGTTCAATATTATTCCTTACCTCCTCAGACAATCTATCAGATAAGCTAATTAATTCAACAAATATTTCCATAGAATGATTTACCTCATATGTAGGAGCAAAATTTAATTATCTTTTCAATAAAAGTATTACACTATCCTCCAGAGTTGTACTAGATAAATTGATTGCCTTATCCTTCCTCACTTTACTACAGCCATAGTTAGTACGACTTACCTTAGGCGCTCGAAACGAGGGAGGAGATCTCGTGGACTGCGTCAACCTGAACGCCGTATAAAGTCAAACGGCTGCAACACAACGCGATTCAGCCGTCATCATCTAGTGAGATCGATCTACGAATCTCTTTTTCATGCACTTTCATACGAAATGAAAGTCCCCTCAACAAGGCCATATTAAGTCACTAGGATAAGTTGTCACTCTGTGATAGCGATGTACCTCTAACTGACGATCTTATCGTAACGTATGTAAATGAACTAAATCAATTGTCCTAAGCTGGAAATCACGAATATAATGGTAGAAGATGCAAAACTAGGTACGTTACACAAGATCTTCCTGATACTACGACTATGTTGCGAAAATGAGGTCAAACTAACACAATACAACTTCAGGAGCCTGCAAGAGAACAGAAGGCAACACCATCTACGATCTAATTACGGTGGTAAAATTGCCAAACAATGGACTGATCAAAGAAAACAAAGGTGAGTCAATCTTGTCACTTGACCTCTTTTAACTGCTGTAAAACATTATTGCATCCCTTCTAGTTTTTGAAATATGGTGAGAAAATGTCGTTCCGACAAGGTCACTGATATAATATAACGAGCTTCACTAAAAAAATTAGAGAAGACACATGATAGGGGAAGAGTAAAATTGTTTAGGCTAGACTCGGGCATGATTTGAGTCGGATTCTTATCCCGGAGGATTTACCAAAACTACACAAGATGACAGACAAAATGCCGAAAAGGATCTTGGACTAAAAAAGGCCCCATGAGGTGAATAAATATGAGATCCAACCATCCGAAAAAAATAGAGATGCCATTAGAATGACGAATCTCAATTCAGACAAGATAGGAAGATAAAGTAGTGAATTTGTCGAAGCCACGGTGATCCTTAAAAAAGGACTAAACTTTGCACAGAGAAAAAAGAAAGGAAATCAAGGATATTTAAGTGAATAAGATAAATACCACTGAGAAGCTACCGGAAGAATAAAAGAGCTGGAAATAGAAATCTTCCTAACAATTTTGACGGATATGAACAATATAAACACGATATATATAGATTATTTAAAATAAACTATCAAATAGTTCTACACGCCGATAAAGGTGTCACCGTGATGATGCATAGAAAGGAATATATAGAGAAAATGGAAAATACTCTTGTACACTACAAGTTACCGACTTCTAACAAAAGTTGCAACAACTAAAATCAAAAGGCACTGCAAGAAATGCTAAAGGAAATGAATACTAACAGGGAAATCGGCAAATTTAGAATGAATTCACTACTACAAAGAGATGCAAAGCTCCAGTAGAATAGGGTTTGCCGAAAATACACAAACAAAAAGAAGTATTGGGACTTATAATGAAAAAAAACACAGAGAAACACATAAACTGGCGAAATGTATCTGTCTCAACGTAAATGAAAGAGTACAGAATACAGCGAGGAATTCATACGAATTTTGATGAAAAAAATCAAATACACCTGCTTGGAGGGAAGCGAACTATTGGTGAGCTTTGATGTATAGTCCATGTATACCAAAATCTTAAGAAAAAAAGTATTCGCAGAACTACTGGAGATCTTGTAAAGATAATAATACATCCTGGAGACGGAGTGAATCCATAAAGAGTCTCTGACCCAATTAAGCAACCTAACAATAAGAACTAGCTATTTCACGTTCAACGGCCTCATCTATAAGCTAATATTCGGGCTGTCTGTGGGATCGTCACCATGACTGATGCTATGCCTGACCAAGAAGGGGATGATACCAGCCAATGAACTTGAGGATTAGATAAGACTGTCAGCTTGAGAGACAAGAGTGTGTTTTACACGATTCAGGAGTGGAAAAGTAAAGCGAAAGATTTTCACACGGACGTTTCCGAATTAAGCCGAACACAAGGCCCCAAAGAATGGGATATAATGTGCGTTGGGATGAGAAAGAGGATAACTGGATGACGAGTCTGAGGCAAAGAGAGAGGAACATGCCTAGACATGGACATCGTCGGCTCTAAATCTTCGAATATGACGTAAAGGGGGCCGGAAATTGAAGTGTCATAAGCATCCAGACAATTATTTTAATGTGTAGCAGTGGCCAGTTGACCAATGGAAAGAAAGGGGGTCTGAATGAAAATCAGAAGCCCTGCAAACGGCACCTGGAACCGGTGATGGGGAGGAGTATGCCTCACTAAATACTCTTGTAGCGAAACACTCTTAGGCTACATTGGAGGAAATGAGATCACATAATTGTGTGAATAGGTAAATAAGCCACATGAAGTAGGGTTGAGAGAAAGATGCAACACAAGAAGGTAGGACATAAAATAGGGGCGACGGGTGATGCCATAACGGTTCAACAGAAAATTGGTCAAAGGGATTCCCTATGATAACTTGTAACTCTGTGCTGACGGTGGCACTTCTCACTGACGGTGCCGGCGAAACGTTTGTAAATGTACCAAGTCGATTGTCAAATCCTGGAATTTACGAATACTATGACAGTGGACACCGGACTAGGCACATTCCACAAGGTTTCCCTGATGCTTCGAACTAGTTGCGAAAGCGAGACCAAACCAATACCATATGAAGTGGAGTCAAGAATAAGGGATTCAGAGCTAGAAGTTAAGAAGGGGGAGGAGAGATAACGCAGCGGTTAAAGGATTGCTTTAAGATGGCGCTTGGACTAATAGTTGCTTAGAGGAAAGGACAATGCTTCTTATTGGTGCTACAAAAATACCAGAGAAACGTCTAAAAATTTACAGAATCGATATTCCTATAATGAAGGATACCATGACTACTATTGTAGATGACGCAGGACTTAGCAAGACCTGTAAAATCTCTCTGTCACTCCGAACAAGTTGAAAAAACGAGACCAACACAAATATATACAACAATAGAAAATGAGAATAATCCGCATTTCCTTCGTATTTATATCCACGAATAGTGCTGAAGCGTTACTTGCTATCTATAAGGCATACAAATAAGCCTCGCCTAGACAAGTTAAGCTAAAGGATTTAAAAATGAGACCTGTCACGGAAAAAATCTCCTCCGTCTTTTGCCACTTACCTATGGGGTATCGAATGGTGTGTAACCATGGACGGTATAGTTTAGAAATATACTTGAGTCCGCTCATAAAACAGTACATAATCTATATGTTACGAAAAAAATTAGTTTGAATGATAACTCTAGAGGAGCTTTAATCCAAAACAATCAATGTTAGCATAGCATCGTCATAGTTACGTGCTCAATTTATCTTTTCTAATTTTTCTATTACAAATTTGCATCTAAAACAAGGTTAATAAAATTAAGAAATTCCAATAAGCATCGCCAATAATGGAGGATTTATCATATCCATGCGAAATTAGTCTAAATTGCCTATTTCACGACACAAAAGATTAAGGTATAGAAACCGCATCGAAGTCTCCCTTATCCGAAAAGTTATTATAATTTAAAATGAGCTGCTTGATAATGTGGTTTATCTATCATAGGCAGAATTTATGGTTATTTAATGAAACCGTCTTAATTTAAGTTGTTTTATTTCAAATTTATAAAAATAATTCCATGGAAAATTGACAACATCAAATGTTTATCGGAAGTCAATCTTCAATTTAATCATTATACATAAATCCTCATATCAATATCATTTATTTCTATTAATATAACTATTTATAAGGCTATGAAGTTTGATATAGTTTGTCAGTCTGATAATGTCAAGTTTCTATCACCTGGAAAAGCCTTCGCCGGACAGGTTAGAATAAATTGATTTCAGATCTATACAAAATCTTTCTAAAATTATATATTAAAAATATTCGGTTACCACTATGGGACAAGAGATATTTTTAAGAATATAATTGCATTACCTTGACGGAAATTTATTTTCTAAGATTAAGCAAGTAAATTAATTTTGCAAAATTAATCACTTTCTTTACTAGGTCGCTCCATTCATCGATATTGTGTACAGTCTAATACAGTGTATATGGCATACGGTATTCCTATTACGAGGGCACATTATTCATTTTGTTTTAATTTGAGGGCATTAGCGCATTTGCCAAGACATTACTTTCATATCTTTTCCTTTACAAAAATTTAAGCTAGGTTTATTACCGACATTTGAAGCACTCACATATCTCACCTTTAAATAACAGCGCTCGAATATGAATAAAATAATGACACCAAGTGGTGGTTTAGAATATCATGCTTAAGCCTATCGGTTATTCATACTAAACACGTAATGTTTTGAATATGTAACATGACAAAGATATCAGAGGACTTATTATTCGAAGGATATCTAATTATAAACGAAGAAAGTTTTTAAAAGTTTTAGTAAAAAGTTCTAGAATCGCTTCTGGAATAAGTATATGTAGTAAGATGTTATCAGACTGTTAAGTCCCAGAAGTAATCGCTCTCAAATTTTATTAACAAAAAAAAACTTGTATTAATTAGTGCTATGGGTCTTGATGGTGATAAGCCCTAATAATAATAGCCAGCGACTGAAGGCGAGGTTGAAGCAAGACTATGATTTTATCACATATTGGAATAATAAATTTTAGGCAAGAGAGAACAGATGAATTTGGACCAGCAACCTTATAAAGCAGAAGATACTCACTTCACTCATGTCGGGCAGATTTGGCCTCGGGTTTAGTATGCTAAGATTTTGAACCTCACGCTGCAGTTCTGGATCATTCGCATCATACAGCTTAGGTAACAGCATAATGAGCAGGAATGGCACAATCATCAACAGCAGAGTAGGATTCATGAGAAGATCAAGAGTGCGTAATTGTTCACGTGGCTGTCAGAAATTTAAGAGGGAAGGATAAATCAAGTTAATTTCCTGTCTTAAATGGTACACTAAAGTTTATCATTATCATATGGTTATGATCACTTTTTTTATCATATGCGAACCGAAGATTAAAAAATGATCTGAAAAAACTGCTAAGTAGAAAGTGAGTCTTCTAATAAATAGCACAATATATGGATTATATATTGCATGGAGATCAGATTCCATCAATTAACATATTTCGCTTGACAGGAGTGTCTTCATGCCATATAACCAAGACTCGACAAGTTTTCTCTATAATAAAAAATGGTAAAAATTACCTGAAAATAGCTAGCTCTGCCGATGCTTGCCATCTCAAGTGGATAGGGGATGATTGATACTGCATTCGGCTGAAGAACGTTGAATCTACGAGCACGAATTTTTCCTTTTGAGTTTATGTCAACGCGAGCCGGCTATAGGAAAACGAATACAAATAAGCTTTGTTATTCAAATTAATTTTTGTAAAGGCTTACAACCATCTCGTGCAATACTTAGAAAAATAATTCTAGGGAGCGTTTCGAACATCAATTTTACACTAATCCTCCTGAATCTCTCACTATTTAAATATATCATAAACTTTATCAAGTCCAAATTAAGAAACGGTCTCGAGAGGACAAAGATTGGGTACCAGGCACGAGCCTTAATTTCTCATTCGAATAGCTAATGCGTTACATAGATAGCCTCATCCATTTGAGTTATTGGAATATTATACCTAGTTGGTTTGGATAACCTGGATCCCATTAAAAGTGGAGCGCTAGTGCCAATAAAAAATTAGACGAGAAAAATAAATATGAATAGGTACCTGGAAAACAAAAACTGGATTTACGACCTCAACAAGATACGATCCAGAGGGTACATTTGTAACTTTAAAAGATCCGTCAGAACGAACAAATCCCAAATATTGACCTCCATCAATATGAATGCGAGTTTTAATGAACCAATCATTTCCATAAGGGGGGATAACAGTTCCTTCGATAACATATGTACCGTTTGCAAATTCACCGGCATCCGCAACAACACTTCGAATTTGCCACGAAAAGAAGTGTAGAAAAACCAGGAATTCCAATATGAGTAGGCATAAGTTTGCACAACGTACCATTTTCCTAAGATAATAAGCAAAAATACTAATATGATAAGACAGAAACAAAAATTGGACAAGACTGTCGTAGAAAAGCTAATTTAAAATAATTGAGCCACAAATAGAAAGTATTCTTGCCTCCTAAGTGGTTAAATTAGAAAGCGAAACCGCAGCAATGATATCATATAATTCAAAATCTGCTTAAGCACTTTCAACCGTAAACAATTGAGACAAATTACATAATAATAAATTTAAGGACTTAATATATGCTAGAAGTTACAATCCAAGAGGATTTTGCTAGAATTATTTAAGCAGATATGGGCACTAAGTTAGTGAAGTCAATGATTAGGATACTAATAAGATAGTACAAAATATTTAGAAATCTGCATGCGTAAAAATTACTCTAATATTAAGTAGCACATAAGGTTAAGCACCTATTTTCTTAAAAAAATTAAAAAAGCTCGAACAAACATTTTTGAAATGACTCAAAGAAAAACATCTCTTCAAAAGACCCGCCTAATAAATTGTAAAAAAAAGAACTAAAGCCTTAATAAAATATAGTTATTTTTATTACAGCTAGTTTTTGA